GGCCGCCGTGGTGACCGACCTGCTGGGGCGGCTGCAGCGCCAGCACCACCAGCACCCCCAGCACCTGGTGCAGGATCTGGCCACCGAGTTCTGCAAGTTCGGCCTGGAAGGTGGGGGAGGACCCGTGTGCCTCTGTCCCCCCAGGACCCCTCATGTCCACCCTGGGCTGCCTGTGTCCTCTCAGGGCTCCCCATGCTTCCCCCAGGGCTCCCCATGTCCCTTCATCCCCACAGTTCCTGTATCCTCCAGGGTCTCTCTGTGTCCCCCAGGGACTCCTTGGGTCCCCAAGGGTTCACAAAGGTGCCTGGGGCTCTCAATGTCCCCACCCTGTCGCCAAGAACCCTTGTGTCCCAAACATCTCCCCATGTTCCCCATGATGTTCCTTCTGTTCCCCAAGATTCTCCCTGTCCCAGGACTCCCTGTGTCCCCTGAGGAGTTCCCTGGGTCCCCCCCCAGGTGCCCCCTGTCCCTACAGTGCCCCTTGTCCCCAACACAAGCCCAAGGACTCCACTGGCTCCAAAATATCCCCATGTTCCCTGTGGTTCTCCTGTTCCCCTAGGTCTCTCATGTCCCCAGGCCTCCTTGTGTCCCCACCATGTTCCCAAGGCACTTCTGTGTCTCCAAGGGCTCCCCATGGTGCTCCATGTCCCAAGGTCCCCACCGTGTCCCCAAGGACCCTGGTGTCTCTAAGATTACCCTGTTCCCCATGGTTCTCCTCATGTCCCCCAAGGTTTCTTAGGTCTCCAGGATTCCCTGTGTCCCTCGGGTTCTCCCTGTGTCCCCAAGGATTCACAAAGGATGACCCTGGGGCTCTCAATGTCCCTACCACATCCCCAGGGACCCTAGTGCTTTCAAGATCTCCCCACGTTCTTTGTGATGTTCCTCCTGCTCCCCAAGTTCTCCCGTGTCCCCAAGGCTCTCGGTGTCCCCCTGTCTCACTCCCCTCCACGCCCCCACAGGCATCTCCTCCATCCTTTTCTCCTCCCGCCTGGGCTGCCTGGAGCAGGAGGTCCCAGGGGACACAGAGACCTTCCTGGGGGCCATCAGGACCGTGTTCCTG